TATTTTAGTCTACATACGGGATGAGAAGGGATTTTTGTCTAAACTTATGGGATATCTTGCGATTTTCTGCTGCGTGAATTGTGGCAGCACTGGCCGTGATTTTGCCCAAGGATAACCAGTGAAAGCTTCGGGTTCTTCTCTTCCGTAACTAGAACGATAATTGGCGCCAATAATAATCGCGGAGGCCTGTGGGTAAGGCAGACGCAACACAATTGAAAATTTGAATAGAATGGCAAAGGCTAAAAGCTCACTCATGGGCAAACCCAGAACAGAGATTATGTTAATTCGCACCATTTGGTGTTGAAGAAGTCAAGGAACTCGACTAGAGTGTTGGTACCGCAGTTATCAACTAAACTTACCATTGCTAATACTGTATCAGTTAGGAGTGTAGGTATCGACATATAGCATATAACTTTCAACATAATGATTATATTTCTTATGAGGTAATAGCTGATGGGTTGTTATCTTCTCGTCGTAGGCAAAGGAACAGCTGATCAAGTCAGCACCTAACAAAGCTACAGAGGTCTTCCACTCCATTATACACTAAATCTGGATTTATATTCAGTTTATATACGCACTAATACTTTTTTAAATAATTGTTCAATTAAATGACGACAATACAAAGTAAATAGCCTACGTAAAGCGAAAGCACGTTGCTGTCTTATACAGGGTGTTCAAAAAAGATGGGGACATAATTTACCTACTGATTCCTTGGGTAAAAATAAAGATAAAACCAAGAACAACATTTTTTTCCAAAATCATTTCGTTAACCAGATATCCAGCATTTTGTAATTTTTACATTAACATATTTTTATCTTTAAACGTTTTCAACCAATCTTTATGAAACTTGGTAAATATGTGTATATAGGTAGAATAAGATACCCATGTTAGAAAAATTTCAACTTAATTCAACTTAAAATTTGACAATGGCTGACATTTTAACTTCTTAAACTTAAATTACAAAAATGGCTGATTTTGTGAAAAAATGTCAAGGACACTTTTATTTAGCATTTTCAATTTTCTAACAAACGATACCAAATTCAAAAATACCCCCGCCGCAGCAAACCTGCCGACTAAGCGAATTTCCATTTGTCTTAATTGATTTTCAATTAAATATATTTTAATAACATTAGGTTTAACGAGTACCTAGGTTTGCTGCTACAAGGAAACTAATAAAGTGTGTTTTTTTGTAAAATATTGATAGCTTAGTACAAAATAAATAAATTTGATCAAAATACAAAATATACCCTATCCATAAACAAGCAAACTACAACATTTTACAATATTCCCCATAAGAATAACATGGGAATTTTAAATTTACAATTTTTTTAATTTTCTCCGTTACTATTAACCGAACAAAAATACTTTTATATACTAAATTAATTGTTTTTTAAGCTCTTTAAAAAGGTCTAAAGAGAAATTGGGAAATTTTGTGTTTTGAGGGTCAAAAGTGAGAAAAACCAATTTTTACCCCATAAAACCCCCCGTAAAGCCCCGTTCCCATGGTCCGATCATGCTGGTTCGCGAACTCATTCACGTTTATCCCGCTTTACACCTTTAAACCAAATTTCATCAAAATCGGACAAAAATTACTCAAGTTATAGCGTTCACGGACGTATATATATATATGTATGTCTATATATATATACATATATAAAAATTTGAACGAATGGTGTTTTTGGCCTCTGGGGACATCAAAATGAAAAAGTAAATCGGTCCCGGGTCTAGGTCTTACCGTGCCACCTACGGTAATAGCTACTTCCCTATAGGGAAATCCGCTAATAACAAATAAGAAATAGCTTAAATAATACGATTTTCATTTTGTAAAATGGGTAAAGCTCTAAGCTCCTAATCCTCTAATCCAGGTTTGCCCAATTTTACAACTACTAAAAATCGTATTATTTCAGCTATTTCTTTTTGAACTTGGTATCGTTTTAAAATGCTAAGTTAAAGTGTTCTAGAGATTTTAAAATAAAATCAGCCATTTTTTGGAATTAAAGTTTAAAAAATTAAAGTGGCCGCCATTTTGATATTTTAAGTTGGATCAAGATGAACTTTTTTCTAACATGGGTCATTCTCTTCTGCCTTAACATAGTCCTACATACCAAGTTTCATAAAGATCGGTTTAAAAAATGAAGGATAAAAATGTTTAGCCTATGTAAAAAATACAAAACTGCGGATATCTGGTTAACGAAGCGATTTTGGTTAAAATGTTACTCTTAATTTTCTGTTTATTTTGACCCAAGGAATCACTACGTAAATTATGTCCCCACCTTTTTTGAACACCCTGTAGGGCTAAGAAGTAAAAACTGGGATTTTTGAATTTTTCCATAAATCACGTGGCAGAACAAAATTGTATAAATAGGTAAATTATTACTACCGGTACCTACTTTACTTAAGTTTATGCTAATGATCAAACTTAAATGCAATAATACGGCCAGGATAAGTAATTAAAATAACATTTAGAATAATTTATTATTACATTTATCATCAGATTCAATTTCAAACATTGCTCGAATTTTAATGTAAATCTTGAAAATTATGTCGTACTCGTATCATACAAAATATTGACATTTTAACCAGTGGGAGAAATACTGATTGAATTCGTTTTAACTTTATAGTTAATTCGGTCTTTCATAAGGATAAGACGCTGAGTGTACAAAGTGATTTTTTATCTCTTCTCATTTACGAGTTTCAAGAACACGAAGAATGACTCAAAGACAACCAAAACAATGACGTAATTTTGGCCTTGACGTTGTCATCCTCTAGACACGCACGACGCAATGCATACCATTGGGACTAAATGGTGGTGGTTTGGCTAATGGCGGTAACGTATATAAAAAATAAATAGTTACTCATTGATAGATAAATGAAATGTGAAATACTCCCGCCACAGCAAACCTGTAGACTAAACGAATGTCTATTTTGTCTGATTGTATTTTTTACTAAAACTAGTGTACCTGTGGCTCGAAATCGAACAATTATTGTCAAGTACCGTACCTGCCTGGATTACTGATTTTTTTTTAAATAACAGTCATAATTTTTGATCAGTTAAAAAGACTAAACTAAAAGCTTGTAAACTAATGGAAATGAGGAAATGTACTAACTACTAACTATTGTAATGTCAATGTAGCTAAATAAATGAGTTATTAGTTATAACGCTGTTCCTAACAGTTCAATACAATTAATTACTAGTAAATACCTTATAATTTTTCAGAAGCCGACCTTGATTTTTATTGATTTCTAGAAAATGTTTCATGACTTACCCATAGACGCATAAAGTTGTCCATATGTATTCATCATACTGTAAGCAGTGGCCAGTACCACGAATACTACAAAAATACCGGTAGGGCCTATGGATCATAAACATAAACAAATGACGTTTTTGGCCTGAGTAGTAAACAAACCAACTATACTATAGTACTAACTATAATAGCATTAATTAACATATGGTTTTGTTTACTTAATTCGGGCAAAAAACGTCATTTGTTTATGTTCACGATCCACCGGCATTTTTCTGTATTCGTGGTACTGGTACTGGTTACAGTATGATGAATACGCATGGACAACTTTATGAGTCTATGGGTAAGTCAGGAAACATTTTCTAGAAATCACTAAAAATCAAGGTCGGCTTCTGAAAAATTATAAAGGTATTTACTAGTAATTAATTGTATTGAATTGTTAGGAACAGCATTATAACTCAATAACTCATTTATTTAACTAGATTTTCTCTCTAGACCATTTTTAAAGAGCTTAAAAAACAAATAATTTAGAAGGCCTATACCAAAGTGTTTTGTACGGTCAATAGTTACGGAGAAAATTCAAAAAATGGCAAATTTAAAATTTCTATGTTATTCGTTATTCTTATGGAGAATATTGTAAAATGTTGTAGTTTTCTTGTTTATGGAAATACTTTTCAATGAAATGGCGACCATACATACAAAAGTAGGTATTTTAAGCCAATATTTTAATTAAACTTAGCAAAATTTTATTATTTTATACTAGGCTACTTAAATTTGACTAAAAACGTACTTTATTAGCCTCCCTGTCGCAGCAAACCTAGGTACTCGTTAAACCTAATGTTATTTAAATAGATTTAATTTACAATCAATTCAGGCAAATGGAAATTCGCTTAGTCTGCAGGTTTGCTGCAGCGGGGTTTTTTATTATTATTACTGTATTATTATTATTATTGAATCCTCCAAAATGAGAGTTTTAGTAAGTGTTTCTTGGATGTCATCATATTCTTTTTTAATCACTTGAATTTTATGGAAACAGAGATTAAGTCTTTGCAGTACCAGTTTTATTTCGCCTTGGAGGTTTTTACTCTATGATCACAATGTCCATGTTTTCTTCAAAAGAAAATTGGTAGCATCAAGGGACTATGTTTTATCTATGGTAGTACTTATGTCAACATATCGTTTGCTGTTTGTAGGAACCAATGTTGTGCTCTTCCATAGATTTCATCTATGGTTCTTCATAAGGTGGGTGAAAGTTCCCCAGTTGGCATTGTCCCAGGGCGCCGACGACGAAGGCGTAAATGGAGGTGGTGGATCATCCTTGAGGAACTGGGAGAGTGGACCGTGGATCTAGTCTTGTGTTATTTACTTTCTTACTTACTTAGTTTGCTCCTTAAGTAGTAAACTACTGAACCCTTTCCACTCTTAATATACTTAGGTTAGCTTCCGCACCGACTGGATAACCTGCCAGCCGTCCTCACATGGAGTTCTTATGGTTTTGGAGCGAGAAAAGTCCCGAAATAGTCAAAGTAACAAAGTATTAATTCTTACCATCAAATAACCACTTAAAAGACTAAGACCAATTAATTTATGTAGAAAATCATGAGGACAAAAACAGAGTACTACATAGCTACATGTAATTTACAGTAAGAAGACCTACAGTTACAGTACAGACAGCAGAAGGCAGACAAGATTGAAATAACCGCGAATTTTCATTTGTTTTTTTCCATTTCATTCAAACAAAATTAAAACTGTCTCATGTCGATGTTTGCTTTTCTCAGCATTATGCTATATTAATTACCAGTAACTTTCTGCATAATTTTTAACATTAGAACACCTAATTTTGATTCAGTTGTGTGTTGGTTTGATTTTAAAGAGAGCGTTTTAGTCCATAAGTTTACCTCAATCGTTTCTTCTACACTTCGACAACCGCTTTTATTTATGAAATGGATCAGGTAGTTCAATGCCCTACTGTTTAATTTTATAATTTAGACCTAGTAGGCCTATGTTTATTAATTTTAATTTAGTATTATTTACGTTTTTAGTGAATTTCCTGTAGATCATTATTTATAACTGTAGGCCTAGTCTTAGGGCGACCACTGCCCTTTCTCGTAGCCTACAGAAAATAGGCCAAGGCCTAGTTTGAGATTGACAGTCATTCTGATTTAACATTTTTAAGTTAGGCCTACCTTAGTATGTTCAATATAGTAAGGTTCAGGTCCCCACTACAGTATGTAAATTTGTTATGTGATGGTTTATTTTTATAACTACCGGTAGGCCTAGTCTAGCTTGGCACTAAAGTTAGCCGTTTACAGTAAGTTAGTTTCAAACAGTGAAATTGTGTTTTTAAAATTCACACAAAGATCTCTTGTACTGCAACTTGTGAAGCAAAGTAGGCCTATAGAATGGTATAACTTAGAGCAAGGGTTGTCATATAGGCTAGCTAACTTACCTAGTACTGTTTAAAAAAAGAGAAGATTTTCGGCTGCACTTTACTTGACGTCCTACACTCATTCGAATGAAAATATCGATCGATATATCGATTAATCGATTGCTTCATTCGATATATCGTTTGGTTAGTTAGGTAAGGTTAACCTAACCCAACTAACCAAACGATATATCGAATGAAAATATTGAATCGAAAAAAAAAAACAATCGAATGAGTGTAGAATCAAGTTAAGTGCAGCCAGATTTTCCACTATGTTATTGGATAAAAATTAACGCGCTAGCAAAACTGGATAGGCCTACCTATAAGTTAAGTTAGGTAGGTAGGTACTTAAGTTAAGTCAATATTCAAATATCGTACATGCAAAAGTAAGTATATGTTTCATCTTACATCTCACTAAAACAACAAATAACTTAAGTTAACGTTAATAAAACGTTCTCTATCTGCTAGACTTGGCTCCGTTAGTGAACGCTCGGATAAGTTATCTTTGGACTGGCCAACAGGTGTGAATTGTAGGAATGGGAACTGTGAATCAAACTACAACTTAAACTCAAGATACTGCTAGCCAAAGTGAAACCAAGGAATAACTTAAAAAAACACTACCCGTAGTAGAGAGTAGGTCTACGAGAGTTGCGTTTTTCAGTCATTACATAAGTTAACAATATTTTTGAACAAACAAACATTTATTTGATTCTAAAAATGCTGTTATTGAACTTAAGTTAGGCCTAGAAGTTACTGTATATTTATTTTAGAATTTCAGTAGATCGTTAAAAAGAGGAGATATCTCACTTATACCTAAATCTTCTTTTGCTAAATTTAGAAACGTAAAAATCCATTTAACTTTATTTCCGGTGAAATCCTGTAATATGGCTAACTTATCTTATCACTTGCTGCAAGTTCTGGAATTGGTTTCTTGCTTTGTTTCTCTATTTATGCCCTCTGGCCAGCTTGGAGATAATATCAGACCTTAATATAGCCTAGGCCTACTTAGCTAAAGGTCTCAATTTCAATTTAATTGAATGTGAAATGTGGCCGGTTGCAGCTCCGCAAAGAACCTACGATATGGTATAGGTTAGTTTGGATCAGATTAGTAAGACCTCATGGCTGAAAATGTTCATATTCAATACCTAAATACACTTAATATTACCAGTAAGTTAGGCCTGATGAAAATTATGTTCAATACGGTACGGCCTATATACCTATATGTGCAGGCTCTTGAACCAAAATTTCCTCCGATACCAGTAGGCTACCTATATTGTTGGTTTCTGCAGAACTGTACACCTGTAGGCCTATAGCCTGAAATTGTTCAAATCATGTTAAAATAGCCTATCTTGTTTGGCTGTGTGGACATTTTTATGAAATGCGATAAGCTATTTTACTCTTCCATCAATTCCTGTAAAGATTGGTTCAGATTTCCATTTTTAAATCAGATTTAGCTTAATTAATCACAGCCTATTTTGTAATATGGCGTGAGGTCTTAAAACGATGATTTTGTCTTGCTATTTTTAGAGGTGAGGTTCAGAAAGAAGGAGGAAACGTGAATACGTGAGCTGAGTCAACTTGGCACCTTTGTTGTTAATAATGTTCTTGTGATCCATAGGCCTACAATCGGTGAAAAATTGTGTTCATTAATCAATACCTTTTTTCTTTAGGTTTTGGCCTTTCAACTAAACAGATCCAAGATTCTCATAGATGCACTAGAAGTTGCAAAAGTTTCTGACAATCCATTGGTAGAACAACACATTATAGACATTAGAAGATGTATCAACAAGTCTCAACTAACACTGGACAAAATTAAAACAATTTTAGCAAGAAAAAAAGAAATTTATGTAGAAATGGATGTAAGTAAGCACATCGAATCAATCCTACCTACCTCAAAACACAATAACCTAAACTTGCTATTGTCAAATGATGGATTATCAATTATTTGAGATGGGGATGCCACCCTAGAAGTATTGATGCCCGTTTTGCCAGAAGCGTCTGGTGCGTCTGACGCTCAGCGATGATCGCTAGAGCGATAATCGCTCAGCGTCAATCGCTCGGGCCTATTTTGCCAGAATCGTCTGTTCCTTGCGATTATTTGAACAGTGAGTGGTTTACTTTGGAGGCGAAAGTAGTGTTTCTGAAAATGAGTTGTAAAAAGCAATTAGTAAAGTATTTGTTAGCTGAGGAATCAGACGATGAAGAGATATTAGAAATGTTGTGCAAACCTAGGGAAGAAGTGCGTACTATGTTTTTAAAGAGACCTGAAGACGGATATTTTAAATTGTAAATTGAAATTGCCTACGCTCTGATGAGACCAAGTTTCATCTAGTTTTCAGTTTTTCATCGTCTTCACTATTGAATCCCCACTTTGATTGTGACATGTCACTAAACTTGGAAACACAACTTATTTAAGGAAACAAAAGTCAACAACTAAACACGTGCTTATTCCAGTAATAATCCCTAGCGACTGCGTCTCCGTCTGCTCCAATAGCAGTGGTCCTCAGTGGCGTCAGACGCTGGCGGCTGTAGCGATTGACGCTTCTGGCAAAATAGACTAATCTAAAACATGCAAAGCAGTGGGCATCGATCGACGCGGAGCGATAATTGCTGAGCAATAGACGCACGAGACGCTTCTGGCAAAACGGGCCTTTAAACATTAAGGAGAGGACACGCTGTAGTTTTGTGAAGCCAGCGTACTGGGGAGGGGGGGAGGCAGCGGTACTCTCCCGCCCCCCTCCTCTTGCTGCGTTGTGCTACGTCGTTTTTAAATATTCGTCCATTATTAACGGAGGAGTAGTGTTTTGTAGAAATCACCTTCACGTATTATATATAAGGATGATTTCTGTATTGTTTTTTTGTATAAGCTAATTCTGTTAAAATATTTACATTATGTTTTAAAGTACAGGTTAAGTGTAAGAAAGTGCCATGTGGCCCTAACTTTGCCTTTGTAAATAAATGATTTTTCATTTCATTCAAGGAACACGAATAAATTGTTAATTTGTATGGATACATCATATTAAAAAAAAAAACGTAATTAAAGTAATCATATGTTCAAAGACCAGGCCAATTCTTTAAACTTTGATCTTCAATAATAAATAATAAATAATAGTTTTTATAGAAATAGTTGACACCGTTCGATAGGAATTTACTTTAAGAATGCCATCGGAGAATAACACAGGTGTTTTAGTTCAGCGGCAATTTTAATTCGAAACAGCGCGCATCACGTTTTTCCCTATCTCTCCCATGTTATAGCCGAGGCTTTTTGCCACTCTACGGCTTTCAGCGTGCCCCTCTAGTGTTCTGCTAAAGCTGGCTGCACCGCAACATGTGTATTCCTATTCGCGTGCCCTCTTCTTAATGTTTAATCCTCCTGACGCCACCTAGGTGCGTATTTTAACCCAAATATTAGTGAAGGATCAGTGTAGAATGTTGTGAGATGATCTATGTAGCTTTGTTACTAACTAAGTTAAGCTGGTTCACCAGTCAGGATCATTTATTTATAAATCCCGATGATCAGGGGCTCTTGTAGAGGATAGGTGTCAATGAAACAAACGGTTATTTAACTAATGCCGCCTATGCAGAGGCATCTGGACTGGAATTATTTCTACTTGCCCCTTGCTATTTAATCGCTGCTTGCCTTGTTAAAAAACTTGTGAATTAGGCCTTACATCGTAAAAACTCCAGTAAATCATCTCATACTGTTGTAAATAATTTGGTTTTTAAAACTGGTATTTAACATCTTAACTAGTCTGCAAAGTTCAGAGCCAAATATAACAGTTTCGTCATAAATTATGTTTAGGCATTACCCTAGACTATTCCAAGTAGAGATGGGTTTGTATTAGATTAAATTGTTTTGATGTTCTTCACAGGATCTGGCATACAAGTTTGAGAATTTGGCAAATCAAGCTGAAAGGATAAATGACAAGGCCTTTACAAACCAATCTTTCAATAGTTCAACACCTAAGAAGAATGATCAGCAGGTTAGTATACGACAGTCTTAGTTTACATAGGCCCTAGTACATTTTTTTTTACATTATTAAGTTAGATCTTGAATATTATTGTACCATAACTTTGGCACCCTTGAGTGATCTATGTCATAATATTAAGATAAGACAAGGAAAATAGTACAGTAAGATATTAAAATAGTTTTGTCCTCTTGTAAATGAATAAAAAGCTCATTACCCAAGTTTAATGCCTGGTTCATTTGGTTGCGTACTTGTGATTTTGTGAAGAAAGTCTTTTTCATCTGTCGTTGCTAAAAATTACATTGCAGATCTGAAACTAGGCCTATTGCATTTCTTGCGTTCAAAAATACACCTGGATCGAACCATATAGATGTGGAACTGGTTTGACAGACCACACTCCTTGCAGAAAAGTTAATGCTGCTCTTAATGAAAGGTTAAGGTTTGTTTCTGCTGATGTTTGTATGCCAAGACGTTGCATTGTTTTATTGGATAACAATTTTTTATCAGGCTCCTTCTCTCATCATGTCCGGAGTCAGAGTTTTATAAGGCAAACAATTTTGTTTAATATATTTTCCTTTAAAGTGTGCATATTTGTTTCATTTAGCTCATGTGTTGGAGAGCTTAAAATACTAAGATCTATAATAAAAGTGTTTTTCAATACACTACTTGTGATAATATCTATCTATCTATTCTATATATATAATACGTGAAGCCGTATTTTGTTAACACAACTCCTCCCTTATTTGTGGACCAATTTCAACGTTTAAGATGTCAAAAGATTCGTCTCAATATGTATTTATGCAATAAGGTTTTAGAACTTTAAAATTTCCACTCTGAAGGTCGTGAGACCCTCTCAAAGGTCGTGTTTTCCCCATAAGAAATACATAAAACAAATTTAAAAACAAAAAACAGCTGTTTATAAAAAGAAACTCATTAGCTTTTTGGGAGTAAATATTACTGTTTTAATATTCAGTAGGTTAAGACCAAGTTAAACAGTTAATCAGTTTTGTTGGAAGAACGGAAAATGACTGAAGTTCAAAGAAGAAATATTGAAAACGGGAGGAAGAGACAATTAATAATAAGGTATCCTATGCGTATAAGGAGAGTAGAGAAAGAGAGGCCTGGTCCAACACATATACACATCCATATACACATTCACTTGGTGAGATGAATAATATTTGCCAGTTCTGCTATGCAATTTACTTTGGAAGTGAAAAAATATATGAAGCACATAGTGTTGTCACGGTGGTAAAATAAACTTGCCTAATGTCAGATCAAATGAATGTATGCAAGAAATTCTTATGACACTGACAGATCGAGATATTTCAAAACATTTAGTAGAAACCATAATAATAAATGAGTTGATAAGTTCAAGTAGTAAGATTATAGTCCAGTAAATCTGTCAGAAAATATGGGGTTGCTGTGCAAAAGGTCGGGTAGTTCTGATGTTTGGAAATGTTAGTATTGGGCCCATAGCATAAAATCCAAGTTATCCACCTCGAGATACTGCCGCTCGCCGCAGGGCGCGCCACTTGTTAACGAAATAGCAAAAATATGGCAATTCCTATTGTTTTTCACTCAATCTTGCGAACCGTTGATTTTACAGAAAATGTTATACTATTACATTAAAGATGAATAAATTGGTGACAGTTTAAGCCCAACAGCAAGTATGTAGCGTAAATAATGGTCAAAATACAGACCATCAAAATAAATAAATTTTCCAAAGACGTATAAAAATTGTGTTCTTTTTCAATTCCACAATATAGTTGTTTAAAGCAAACACCGTATTGATTCATAGAGTATGGCAGTTTATTTGCTATTAATAGAAAATAAATGAAAGTATGAATAAAAATACCCCCACCTCAGCAAACCTGCAGACTAAGCGAATTTCCATTTGCTTGATTTGATTTTCACAAACCTATTTAAATAACATTAGATTTAACTGGTACCTAGGTTTGCTGCTACAGGGGGGTAATCTTCTATACTATTATAAAGAAGAGGTGGTGTCTGTGTGTGTGTGTGTGTGTGTTTGTATGAGCTAATCTCAAAAACTACTGAACCTATTGGGCTCAAATTGCACACACATGAAGCTACAGTTCCGAGGATACATATAGAACTATTCCCGCTTCAATATTGGCCTAGGGCTCTGCCCCGTGGGCTTTCAAAAATCGGAGGTGAGAGATTTCAAAGTAAATTTTGATTGATGGTATCCATGACAACAAAGAACAAACCTACAAAGTTTAAAAATGTAAACAAGCAGTACTAACTGTCAAATTAATTTTGATTTCACAATTCCATACAGCTGGTTCAAACATTCATTTAAATACTGCATGAATATTAGAACAGAGAGGGTAAGGATCATATTTAAAATAATAGTATAGACATTATTTAACATTACTTAAATGGAGGCTGTCAAACCATACGCTAATGTCATTTCATTATAATAGGATTCTTTCAGTTACATAATTTGTTTATTTTTATAATCTATTATCATTGACAGCTATTATACTGAGTCTGTTCTAATATTTGTGATATGCTGTAATAATATTTTACAGTGAATATTTCATTGAAAAAGAAATAGGCCTAATTCATGGATAAAGGAAATAATTAAGATTCTACAATCATTGCTTTATCAACCTAGGCCCTTATCCTGAGTTGTATGAGAATTATGTTTTAGATTTATTTTTGTGTAAACAGTAATTTAATATCCCTGCTGCAGCCAACCTATAGACTAGCGAATTTCCATTTGCCTGATTGTCATTTCCCTAAAATATGTTAGAAAACTACACTATTGACAGGTTTGGAACTATTGTGATAGCCATTCGTTTACAGTCCAAACCAGGGGGGAGTTCACGCCAAAAATGGCCAAAATATGAATTTTTACAATTTCTTATTTTTTTATTTTTTTTATTACCTATATATTACATTCTGAACATAAAACAGTTAAAACCAACCTTATACGATTTTTTTTTCTCATAAAAAAAATACTTTGAAGTAGCACTTTGTCAATCACTAAAAGCGCCGTGTTTTGGTATTCGGTCGTTGCCAAAAATGGCCAAAATATGAATGTTTACAATTTTTTATTTTTTTATTATATATTAAATTCTGAACATAAAACAGTTAAAAACAACCTTATACGATTTTTTCTTCTCATAAAAAAATACTTTGAAGTTGCACTTTGTCAATCACTAAAAGCACCGTGTTTTGGTATTCGGTCGTTTTTCAAAAGTTTACTTTTTTCGCATGGGAACATAAATATCTCAAGTTCTATACTAGATAGAAGGATGAAATTTTTTTTTATTTTGTTCAGTTTGACAAGATCTAAAATCTCTTGCATGGATTTGTAAAAATAATGTCATTAAAATATTAAAAAAAATAGTTTTTACCAGTTATTTTGGGGAAAAAAATATTTCAAAATTTAAAAATTTACTGTAATTTTATTTTATATAATTTCCTTAAACCCATGCTAGAGATTGTAGGTATTACTCTCAGGAACAGATAAAAAAAAAAAAAAACACAACCCTGTATCACTTTTAAAACTTGAGAAATTTATGTTCTCGCAAACCCTTGCAATACACAAAAAATCCCCCCCCCCCACCCTTGGGTAGTGGAAAAAACATTTTTCCAGTTTTTTCTGTATGTTTTATATAACTTCACCTTAAGGTGTAGTATGAGTAAAATTGGTTTGTAAATAAAGATTTTCCCTTTTTATTTGAACTCCCCCCTTAAACAGGTTCTTTTATTATACCTTGAAATATATCATTGATTTTGTATCCTAGGTAGCCTAAATAAGTATTCACAGTATAAGTTAACAAACAAGTACTAGACCTATTACTATTATCAAGTTAAGTAGGCCAATACAGTTCAATTTTGTTTCTAAGTGAAACCATTTGGCATTTTCAAAGAACCAGCATTAACTCTTTTGCATACTGACCCCATTGCAAGGCACGGGTATAGCTGCTAGCGAATACGAATAGCAGCGCTGGTTGCAGTAGCGCCAGTCAAATTTTTAAGTGACCGACGCTACTAATTGGGACCGACGGGATTGATTTTTTTAGTATCTAAACTTAGATCATGTAGATCATGTACTACCACAAAGTCTTCTTTCTACATCAATTGCAATTCCCTAATACCCCCGCCGCAGCACACCTGCAGCCTATTTTCAACTAAATCTAATTCAATAAAATTAGGTTTAACGAGTATCTAGCTACAGGGAGGGATACGAGGGGTGATTTTAGGAAAATACTGTTAGCTTAGTATAGAATAAATAAATTTGCCAAATTTGATAAAAATATATCCAAATGAATTAAAGAATTTTGCCAGCTGTTTCAACTGCACAAGTTAACTCTATGATATTAAATAACTTTAACAGGATTTAAGGTTACCTACAGGGTGCAGCACTATTATTTTTTTGCATTTATGACAACAGCTAATTTGAAACAACTAGCCACAAAAAGCTGTGGTACACAATGAGACCTTTACTTTTTTCTATGGGTCAGGGGCAGTGGTAGAACAAAAGATCCAAACTTTCTTAAACCATGTCCTCACCCATAACTGCAATAAGCATTTTATACTTATATGCCAACCCCGTACGAAGGACGGGTACTCTGCTAGTATATTATATAAAATAATAATAGTATGATAAGAAACAAATAAATTAACCCAATTTTATAAAAACGAGGTGTCAGCCCGTCCTACGTACGGGAATTCAGTAGTCAGAACCGTGTACAATTTAGATCAGCTAGTTTACACATATAAAGACAAAGTTTCTTGCAGTTTTAATATGAAAAATCATCTTGTAAACAAATGTTGTGTGGCCAAATATGTTTTTATTTCATCATAGGCCTATATGATATGCATTTTAAATCCAATAATTTTACAATAAAACTGCAATTCTGCAATTTTTACGATGTGAAAAGCATTGAAGTGAGATTTGCAGCCGATTCGCACAGACATACACTGATTATAAGTAGCCTACAGTAGAGAGAGTAATAGTCAATTGAGAAGTGTATAGACATAGTCAACGACACCACCTTCCATAGCACACCTGCCTCTTCCATAATTATTATCACCACAATACAATACTATACACAATTTCAAGGAGTTCTGAATAGAAACGACCTAAAATTAAACGATAGTATCCAATAAAATTCACAGTACACATAATTTATCTTTGGTGTCCTAACATCAAAACTAATAGTCACACCTATCCTTTATATCAATTTCACTGCATTAATTGCTAAATAAATAAGCGTAAACAAAGAAAAGTAAAAACAATAACAGTTTGTTTTGAAACAGCTGTTTGGTTAAAAGAACATTCATTTGAAAAAAAGAACTGGTTACATGTAGCAGGAATATAAAAAGTAAACACGCTAGTAAAGCTAATGACGTAATTGTCAATGTTTATTATCCATACCGTTATCAGTTCTATCCTTGATAATTACCCACCCTCATTGAATAAATGTACATCATAATTTCCCTTATTAGTTAATTTAAACTACAATATATTCATAGTTGAAATAAAAGTGATATTTTCGTTTGGGGGCGCTGATATAGGCACCACAACTGAACACGATTTCATGAAAGGATGGTTTTTCTAATTGCAGTATCCTAGGTCAATGTTGACGTTGTGTTCAATCAATGTCATACATCTGTTTATCTTTGTTTAAAACCCGGCTGAGGTTGTGGTGGTAATTTAAAATCGCGATTCCTGATTATTCTTGATCTTCTTTTTATGACATCGATATTTCCGGGCCTAATCCAAACAAAGTTAAAGCAGACAAACATTAATTGTAAACAAAAAGCTACCATGAAGAATTAAAACATGTAAACATTGTTATTTTTCTAATCTTTTCTTTGAAAAGTGGAGCAGTAAAATAATTTGCATTTATCCTTTTTTATTAAGACTCGTGTAAAGAGCCTCCATTTGTACTGTGGTTTAATTAATTTTGGTTAAAACTGTGGTTTAAACTGTATTCTAATTATCTCTACTAATCTTACTTATTTCCTATAATCAATGAAAAAAATAAAATTACCTCATAGTTCCATACTTTATATTTAACCAGCTGTTAATTAAAACAAATTATATTGCTCTAAAACAAATCGAAGATTACAAAGATTGCTTTAAAAAATAATTTGAACATCCTAGTATTTTACTATGTATATTTAATAAATCTGTCATCTTCTTACAGAAGAATTGAACGTATCAATGATTAGCATTGCACATAGTATAAATAAGTCAACCCTAAGTATGTCTTAAAAATTGTTATCCAATACTGTAGGTCTCATGGTAAGACCTAGGCCCGTAACCGATTTACTTTTTCATTTTGATGTCCCCAGAGGCCAAAAACACCATTAGTTAAAATTTTTATATATCTATATATAGATGTGTGTGTGTGTGTCCATCCGCACGATAACTTGAGTAATTTTTGTCCAATTTTGATAAAATTTGGTTTGAAGGTGTAAGGCGGGATAAACTTGAATGAGTTTGCGAACCAGCATGATCGGACTATGGGAACAGGAGTTTATGGGGGGTTTTATGGGGTAAAAATAGGTTTTTCCCATTTTTGACCCTAAAAACACAAAATTTCACAATTATTTCTTATTAAACCATTTTGTAGAGCTTAAAAAAACAAATAATTTAGTATATTGAAGCGTTATTATGCGCCTAATTGTTACGGAGAAAATTCAAAAAAATTTTAATTTTAAATTTCCCATGTTATTCTTATGGAAAATTAGTCAACTGTTATAGATCGCTTGTTTATGAACATATTTTGATCAAATTTGGAAAATACATTAATTTCTTACTAAACCACAGTACCTTTAACATTTTACATAAAAAAAAACGTTTTTACCCTCCCTGTTGCATCAAACCTAAGTACTCATTAAACTAATTCTGTTTCAATAGGGAATAAATGTGATATTTTTAAGGAGACATTTTAGTTTAAATCCAATCAGGCAAATGGAAATTCGCTAAGTCTGCAGGTTTGCTGCGGCGGGGGTATTATGATTCAGGAGAGGCAAATAATATACGCCATTCAAAAAGAGAAAATGAAAATTGCTATCCAAATCCTATAGCTACAAAAGTTATCCAACCTATTTCGACAAATGAATCCATACTTTCAAAACTTTGGGACAGGTATTAAGAGAAACCCCACTGAACAACGTGAGAACGTTCTGATGCGGAGTATATACTGTGACTGACACACAACACGTTAAAATATGTTAGCAAACTATCAATGGTGTTGCTGCTTTAGCCTATTCAAAGCAGATTATGGCTTTCCAGTTGATAAGCCAGAGTTTGTGGGTAAAAAATTGAGCATATTAAATGGTTGATATCACTCCACTTTTTAGGATTCTCTACGGAGAAAATTCGTTTGATTGGGGAATGTCTAGGCAACAGTTTTCTTCAATTCTCTCTCAATGCTGGAAAAACTTTGTTGCAACATGTTAGCTCAAATTGAAGCAGATCGTTTAGCATTCATTAGAAGTTATCAGTTAAAACTGAGAGCAAAAATAATGTCTAGGTGAACCTTGACGACGCAATGCAAATAGAGATATTTAAAATTAGTTTCTAACAAGTGTTTAAACAACTCTAAGATGTAACTAGAATTAACATACTCGAATATTTAAGCATAACGTTTTCCTCGGGGTTATGTTTCATACTATGCTGCTCATTGAGCCGCACGGGTTCTCTAGTTTGTTATATTTTATGTATTTTAATAACTCAAGAAGAATTTTTTTAATTGTACACATCTATTTTCTAATTTTGAAAGTTGAAAAAAGTGTTTGAAAGTTTAAGATTTAAATTTAACAAAAATGCTTTAAGTTTAAACCAAATAACTTTTTCAGTCCTTGAGGGTGGAGCAGTCGGCGAATGGTCTGGAAGTATCTCCTTGTCCAGCTACATGGTACAATGGGATCCTGGATAGCCCAATGCCACCTCCAGGACACAATGGCAGTAGTCGTCCACCTGTGTCCATGGAAGTTCAAATACCTTGTATTAGAATGCTTCATTCCAACGAAATGAATTCTGTTCCAGCGTAAGTTCCCTATTTTGTTTCTGATTGTGTAGTTATATATAGATGGGTAAAAGGTATGTATTGGTCAGAAGTCGGTTTTTTGATCCTGAAAAAGTTAGATACAGTAGAACCCCTCATATCCGACCATGACAGGACCGGGCCATGGTCGGAACAGCCAAAAGGTCTGATATCGGGAGGAGCATAACGTGCAGTCTCCGTGACATCGGTAATCGTCTCCAGCGACCGCAACAACACTTTTGAGCGTAACTTGCGATCTCTGCAACATCAGTAATCATCTCCTGTGACCGCTGCAACACCCGTGAGTGTAACTTGCAGTCTTCGAGACTTCGATAATATTCTTCCACGATGGCAGCAGCACCAGTGAGCGTCTCCACAACTTTGGTAATTGTCTCCCACGACGGAGGCAACACCCATTATTGGCCGCAGAGGTGATCGTCTGCTGCAATTACGGCAATATTTGCGATTGCCCTTTCGGTCAACCGATCGTGCTCAGGGTTATTGACACTAGGTCGGATATCCCGAGGAGTCGGTTATTCTGAGGTCGGATTTGAGGGGTTCAACTGTATTTAATTTTTAAACTGGACCCGACTGACCTTGATTTTTGGATTTAATTTTTTATTTAGTAAAACTATTTTTAGTCTGCCCTATCCGATTAAGGAGTCAGGTGTAGTAGCCGTGGTTTTTTTGCACAGCTCCTATAAAATTTCCCATTGGGGGCCTTTGCTGTTTGGATGGCCAGTAGTCTGTCCAACAATAACTCTTTGTTTTTTACACAACATTTTACACAACCGCGGAAAAATTGTGATTACCTATCTCCTGTGTTTGTGGTAACATCATGATAATCTCCCAAGAAATTACTGTACTGTGACACAGTGATCACCACTGTGATCGGGATATAAACAAAGTTTCCAATGTAAAGTCGTATTGTTAGAGGAGTCTATCGGTAACAGTTGCTAGTGATGATCGACTGCTAATTAAACAAAACAACCTTGCACTTACTTAAGTTGTATTCTTGCTAAGTATTTACAATTCTCACCTTCTAATCTGAAGATTGCTGGTTCGATTCCAATCAGGAATCCATTCTGGACTCTGGTACGATTTGGACTGTCCATTAAAAATTATTAATGCTATCTTACAAAAAAGTCAACGTTATCTAGTAACAGACCAGAGTTTGGACTGTTCCCTTTCAATACATTAAAAAATGCCAATGAATAGACACAAAACCAAACAAAAACACAAGTTCAACAATATAGGCAAAAACCTTGGTGGAAAGAGTTTGTTTCTTAAAAAAAGGCAATAGCGTTAAAACACAAAAAAAATCTATTGTTGACTTCAGTTATTTCACAATTTAAACATAGAAAAATTGAAAACGGTGCTTCAATAACATACTTGCAAAGGATGTTACATTTAGATTTCTTTAAATGATTCTTCAAGGTTATTGGAACAAAACTTAAACATAAAATAGTAATGTACATTTTTTAAATCTAGCCTTGAAATCATTGAGCATGGACTGTTATGTAACAGGCAGTTCTGTATCATAATTAAGTTACCATACTAATAAAATGTAATATAACATATTTTCTCAGGAAAAGCAATTTAGCTGATAAGGAGTTGGTCTGGAAAGGGATTGAGTTTGGATAGCTTAACTGATAAAATTTAAGCCCCTGGACATACGGATGCACAAACAAATTTTCACTTAACTCAGAAATTTCTCCTCTTAAATAGTAAGACTTAATCAGAAAGTGATTAATGAGACATACTTTTCTGTGACCTATGTGAACTTGATCCCTCCTAAACCAACCTCTAAATCTGATTTAAATAATCTAATTCAAAATTTTATTTTTCAGGTACATGAAGGGAAGACTGACTTGTGAAAATGTTAACTCTTTTATCAGTATAGTGAATTCTGTATTGAAGCAGAAGTATTCCATAGCTCTTCTCAAAAGAAAAGAGGTCAAAAGAAAAGACTTAGTACATTATTCGGAATGGAAATCTCAGGAACAGGAGTTTGGCATGATAGGTGATTATGCCAATACACATTCAAAAGATTTATAGTTATTTAGTATTTAATATCATTTTTAAATTATTATTATTTAGGAAAACAAGTTGTTTTATAGTGAAGTGAGACCTTGAATTTTCAACGAATCGTATTTTTGACTTCCAAGAGACCTGTAAATTTACTTGTTCTTACCTCACATTCCTATCATAACACTGTATCCAAACTTTTGTACTCTAAATCGAAATTCAGTTGCAATCTTTTTAGGGATGGACGAGATTGGATTTTAGTTTGAGACAAGATTTTGTATTTCTCATAACATTTCGAGACGAGATCGAGACTGGATTTCCCTTCTCAATTCTCATACATAACAGGAAATGCACTTTCAACATTTTTACATGATTTTGTAACATTGTTAGATGGCTGTTTGAATAGGTACAAAAATAATAATAATAAGTTAGGCAGGAATATTAAAAATCTTTTATTGAAAAACATCAGTATAACAATTTTTATATTAGGCCTAATTAAATTACGTCTAACTTATTAAAAATAACGCTTATACAACATGGAAGATGGTGATATCAGTTAGGATAGAGTTAAACTTATCCTAAAATAAAATAAATCATAAAATAAAAGCAAGATTAATTAGTATAAAATACTTACTTGTTTTGGCTATGTTTACAGTAGTAAAACATGCCTCAAACTGCTTAACAAAACTTCTCAAATGATAAAACAATTAAAGTAATATTTACATGTAAAGAATTAATTACATAAGATCGCCTTCCCAAACAAAACGCAACTACAACACGCTCTTGTATTGCGGGAATTGCATTGACTTTCTGCAGGAGTTTTTGATTTATTTTATTTCCTCTCAAAATAATTTTTGATAAAAAAACCTGTCTCGTAGAAAGAGCTTTAAAATTTCCCAAAATTTCAAGACTTGTCTATCCCTTAATTTTTTTCAGAGATTATAACTTGAGTTTCGCTTGCCTTTAGAATGGCAATGGTCAGGACATAAGTCATTTTTTTAATTAATAGTGTGGTGTGAGCTTGCTGATTCAACTTCATGACATTTTATTCTAGTGTTTAAAACAAATCCAATGCTCTGTGAGTTGTGAAAACTTGAAATCAGATTTTGGTCTATTCTATAGCTTGGAACTTGATTAGACCAGTTTCTCACTTTAGAAATAACATTTCTCTGTTAACCCTGCATCTGGCAGCTTCAAAATATTTAATGTCTGTACTAGCAGGCCATTTTTTGCTGTATGTACATAGGTTACTTAGAGAGATGTATAAATTGTGTTCTACCATACAAAAGTATACTATTATATATTTTCTTTTTTAGGACATTACAAGGAACACTTAAACCATTGACAGATACCAAAAACATTTTGTAGAACTGTTAACTTGTAAGAATAAAAATTAATAAAGTAGAGGCTTGGGAAGAATACAAAAGATTTCTTTTTTAGAAATCCAAGATATAGAAAGCTTTTATAAAATGGTTCTTAACATGAAAAAGTCATATTCGTTATTATTTGTATCTTTGTATGTAAAAGAGTGAATTTTACGTCACACCGCGCTAAAGACACAGTTGCGTCATACTACGTTTTTATTCTTAAGTTTCAAAATATAGTTACATCACAGTAGCTAAATTTCCTGTGTAAAATTATGTAAAACAAAGCAATGTATAATACAGTGACGCTTTCTGTTGAAACTTAGAAGTTAAAAAAATTGATTCTCAAAACGACTAGTGACGAGTCGTTTGCCAGTGAAGGAAATAGTTTTAGCGACTAGTCAATATTTGCCAGATGCAGGGATTAAGATAATTTAATTGATCAAATTGATGAATCAGGGTATTTCCAATGCAAAGTCATAACTCGTAACATTAGAGGAGTCTATTGCTGACAGTTATAGCTGGAATAATAAGTGGAATTATTCGTCACTAAAAATCTGCCCAAGCTTCTTTGGTAATCATCTAACTCTTATTACAGGTAAAGCTTTCTTCACAACAGAGGATTTGCTCAACTTTGGCAATCAGAAAATAGATAAAGTGACAGATAAAATGATCCAGATCTTGCGACACTGCAACAGGCTTCGCCAGACAAGAGCAAATAAAAAGGTCGTCATTTACAGTCTCATTTGATTCTTGAGGGAAGATTCATTTGTCAAGCTAGAACCCAATGTAACAGTTTGTACAGCCCTATTTTATCTTAAGTGTTTATATTATTGTTTAATTGTATGGAATATTCACTGATAATGTTTGTAGATATTATTTAAATGAGATGAACTCTGTGCTTAGGGTTTGTTGTGAGAGTGCGTTTTCACTAAACGTGTCCTAACATTTGTGGGGAAATGTGTAAAAGCAGTTTTTAAGTCCAACAGCTGACATATCCTTACATGGGATAAAAAATGTGTTACGAGTCCATTCAAATAAAACATGTAACATGTTCCTGGCTCCACCTGGTCGCTAAACACTAAGATTGTTTGAATGGAAACAGAACTAAAGGTTGTGTTTAAAATAAGTTGTAACTCTGTCTTTTTTATGATGTTAAGTAGATGTAAGTTAGCTTATGACATTCGTTGGGCTACAAATATTTTAGTACTGAAAAATTTAAAATAAAATATAACTGTTTAAATAATACTTATTATTCAGATTTTCTTTGCCTTCCTCCTCAGCTTTGGATAAGTAATAATTACTTATTTAGACATAAGATCCAAACATTTTTAAACTTTTACAGTAGCCTCTCAATTATACATTATAATGAGTGGCTGAGTGGTTGTGGATAAATGAAATCATGGTTAATGCTAATGTGACCCTAAAATGTCTGGAAAATATTTTTCATCAACTTTGAATTTGTAATTAATCTCTAATATTCGTTTAGGTAATAGTAAAAAATTTTAAAACAATGTACTATCTTAAAACTTTGTTTCACACTTAGTTTGAATAAAAACAAATAAACAAATATAATAGCCTATTGGATAGCCTAAGTTATTGTTTAGACCTAGTTATAACGAAAACAAAAACACAATTTATTGATCGTAGGTGAAGTAAACGTCTTTTGTCTCCCCGCGAGATGATGGGCCTCCTCTCACTAAACATTGGCCGTCACTGTATAAGGTACATTTAATTTGCATTAATATATTTTTTTAATCTTACATTTTTTGGGATCGTGGTTAATTTGCAGCAGCATGATCAATCGTGGCTAGTCAGGAATGTACTGTATGTAGTTAAATTTTGATATTTTAAACTAGTCAGAACAATACCGGTTTTGATTATAATATCGATCTCCCATTGGTTGATGTACCAGGACCCTGAGTCCGCCCCCTCAAACAAGTAGATACATTTGATTCAGTTAAAGATATTCATAATTAGTTAACATTACTTTAATCTTTTACACCTTTCATAGGTTACCTAAATAACATAATTCCATAGTCCGTTTAGAATAATCAAAGTCACAAATATTAATCCTGTTGACAATATACATTTACTTATATAAACATTTAAAAGATAGCTGATATGAAAAAAAAATATAAGTTCAGGCCTACTGGTACACAGGAAATCGTTGATTTTCCTTTGGTAGTATAAATTATAACCATATTAAAGTACACACTGCAAAATTTATCCTAAATATTAGAGAAAAAATTAATCTACATCAGCGGTTCAGATGTAACCAAACAATAAACACATGTGGTAAACATGTGTAATGGTAGTATCTACATCTCTAAAAAGAATGGCTAGATACGTCTCAATGTGAAGTGGTGAAAGAGTGTTTCGGAGGAAACAAAGCGGGAAATAAAAATGTCACCTACTTTAGAAGCACACCTGGGCTCCTGAGTTACCTGATATGTGGCAGCCTATCTCACGACTCACGACACAATTTAGTGCATTTCCCCATCAAATATAAATACATAACCGATTAAACCTGACATCTGACATTATGGTCATCTTCAACATACCGGTGGATGAATCTTTTATCTATACCTCTTCAAAATAGTTTAGTTATTTTTACCATTGCAATAATTTTCAACTGAACTACAGAAAATGGGTTACATATAAATCAGGACTTATATAACTTATATAGATAGTACGGATTTAATTTGTTTTGCTGTAAACATTGTTGAATATAATAAACAAGCTGTTGTACCTGTGCTTTGCAACGGAAAAAGTACGTGAAATAAAATCCTTTTTGATCTTTACATATGTTGTAAGAGTTTGGTTCAAATTAGCTGTCATAAATGTAAAAAAAAATATTAGTGCTGCACCCTGTTGGTAAACCTTATAACTATTTAATGCTATTTAATATCGTACAACTTGTGTAGTTGAAACAGCCGATAATATTCTTTTATTCCTTTTAAATATAAATACACATAAGGTTCATGGAAAACTCCAGAGTCACTGGGGCGGAGCCCAAAAGGATTTTTGAGATATAATCGGGAATGTGAGCTATTATCACACTAAATTTCAATCCAATCCGACCAGTATTTTTTGTGTTTACTTGTCACAAACATACATACATACATCCATACATACATACATACATACATCCATCCATCCATCCATCCATATACATCCAAACTTTCTGGAAATCTGCTATACAAATAAATCTAGTATGTACTTATTATAAATTTATGCAAATTTTAATTATGATGATGTAACCATAGAAACATATACCTCTGAATATAAAAATATCCTATTAATTTGGTACCTATGTTTCAACCAGCTGTGAAGCAATATAAAACAAAATATATATACGTAATAGTAAGTGAGTTTTCTGTTACATCCCTTTTCCAGCTGTCCTACTCAACCGGTTTTTACAATTGAGGTGTCATTTTGAAGCTTAAGATCGAGCGCACATGCAAATGTTGGTTAAAAAATGAATTTCCTTTAGGGCTTCGCCCCCTTTTGTTTAATTTACAGCCCATTTTCAAAGATACAGTGATGCTGACCAACATTCTTTATAACGGTTAAAATTTGAATTGTAATTAACAGCTCAGATTATAAACAGTCAGACTATAAACAAGAGACTGAGGAGTTTAAATCTTTTTAACAGTTATTATTTTTTTCAGTTATACAAATTGTTGCAAATTCCAAAATGTTAAACCAAATCAAGTACCTAATATCTGAAAATATCTATGATCAGGAAACCACGTTGCAAAGTATATTTTCAATGATAAAGAGTGGTCTAAAAATGTTTAATATTACTGAGGTCAGTTTGTGTATTTTCCGACCCGTCGTGATGAAAAGTATATATATAGACCATTGGGTCTATAGTCTCTGATATCGTACAAATTGTACTGAACGTTTTATTCCGGCACTTACTACATGCTCGGTTCATTTTGCACGTGAAATTTTGTTGAAACTTGAAACTTGAGCGTGCGTGCCGGAAAACGCCTCTTTTGGTCCTAATAATCGAAATACTTATTCCTAAAAATGATATTGCATTGGGATGGGCATTGATCGATTGTGTACAATCGTTATATTAATGCGCATAACTAGTATTATTAGGCTATAGACACGACAGGGACAGGCATAAGAACACAAATCCAAGAACTAAAAGATCTTGTTTTGTTTTAAATTATAAGTTATTACCGTGTTGTTCTTACCACCCAAAAATAATGAAAATAACATTAATATAGGCTAGTTTAGTTTTGTTTGTCAAACCCAACTTTTACATTTGCCATAGGGCATAGAGGAAGGAAAGAAAGTAAGGGCACCATAGGGAACCCTATAACCTGGAACTAGAGTTCTGTCACGTCCTCATGTTATTTCTTTTCTGAGCACAACGGGGAGTTGTATTGAGAGATGGATTTGTGTTTGAGATGTCGACATTTTGTACATTCTTTTATTGGTTATTAGTTTTCAAGAAATTACCCATTGATACTTGGAAAAAGAAACACAATATTCTGGATATTTTAACTTTAATCTATTGTGACATGGAGTGGATGCCTTGCCCAACGTTTTTATGTATTAAGATCTAAGCTATTACACAAAAACACATACTATAGTTACACAACAAGTACAGTATTCACTTAGCTACCTAATTAATTTATTTATTGATTCTTAAATTATTTTATAGGCGACAACTCAAAGAATAATTTTATGTCCCTTGCACATTTAAAAGGTAAAATAGTTTTTTGTTACACATGTATATATTTGCCTATTTCTTATTTTCTCTGTCTTTTTCTATTTCGAATATTGTTAATTTTTTCAAAATTTTTTAATCGTGCATTATTTTGTATGGCATATAAAAATATGAATTAAATCTAGTAAACATTCTTTGACCAACATTGTACCGTAATTAATTTAGGATTTTCTCTCAATAGCCTTGATTTTAAATTACTACTGTTATTTTTGTGACCTGAGAAGGCCTACTATACGAGTGGGGAGCGAACTGGTCTTGTGGTGGAGCGTGGAGATTTGGTGGCCGAGGTCCCTGGGTTCAACTCCTGCCAATCAGTGCATTTTATTTATGTGATAATGCCGCGATCCTTTAGGACTAGCCTGCTATAATGTGTTCCGCACTAGAACCTAGCTTCCTAGAATGTAAAAGTGGAACATACAAAACTATACAAATAATCTCGCTGTGTGTTTCAAAAGCAATGTTTTAGAGCTGAGGACCTTTCTCATTATGAACTCCTCCCCCACTCGTTTACTGTAAATTTTCCAAACCAATCGAAGTTTGGTATATTGGATCTTCTTCATTCACCCTATCTCCGATAATTAATCTAAACTCCCAAGCTACACCATTCCAGTTAATATTTAGTTTAAAGTTATAGAAAGAAACCATGCATAGTACTCACAATAATGCAATGTGTTACAGTATTAGTTTTGCGACTACCATTTTACTTGAGTTTATTTGATTTGATTCTAAAACGCATTAAATTAAAATAACTCGTCCACATATAGTATAATGCTGGTACCGTTCAGTTAGTACGCATTTAATGAATTTTGTTATACAACTCAATTAGTTTCAAACATGAACATAAAGCAGCAAATAAAACATTCCACAATCACTGTTACTTTCACTCATCATAACATTTATCTATATAACAATATTTTTTTCAATTACAGTGAGAGATAACACACAGAATCAAAGATATTAGAATAGGTTGTTTCTTATACAACTATAACAAACTATAATAAACTGTATAACAATAATACCCCCGCCACAGCAAACCTGCAGACTAAGCGAATTTCAACATGTCTGATTACATTTTTACTAAAATATTTCCACAAATAAGTCATATTTATTCCCTATTTAAATAACATTAGATTTAACGAGTGCTTAGGTTTGCTGCTACGGGGAAGGTAAAAAGTGTTTTTTGAACATAAGTCAATAGTATAGGATGAAATAAATAAATTTGCTAAACTTTATCAATATATATCCATAAACAAGTAAACTACAACAATTTTCATTTTCTCCATAAGAATAACATGGGAATTTTAAATTACACTATTTTTGAATTTTCTCCGTGACCGTTAGGCATACAACAGCGCTTCAACATACTAAATTATTTCTTTTTTTAAGCTCTACAAAACGGTTTAAAAAGAAATTGCAAAATTTTTTGTTTTTAGGGTCCAAAATGGGAAAACCCC